GAGCAGGACAAACAGCGGATACAGGAAGCTGGTTTCCGTCAGCGGCCTGTTCCTGGGGCTGAGATGAGCGCAGGCCCATTCGCCCCTGGCAGACACAGGGCATGTGGCGTGGGAGCCGGCCTGCCTCTGACGTGATGTCTCCTGGAGGTACTGGTGGGCTTTTGCCAGCCAGGCTGCATTGGCAGAGGGCACCCAGTGGCTCTGAGACTTCCCCCCTTTCGCTCTCATTTATTCCCATTTTTTGGATCACTAAATCAGCCCCGGTTATGACCCTGTAAATCCCTTGGCAATCCCGGCAGAAGCATCAGCTGCTCCTATAAAAAAAATGTTATGGGGCCGTTAAAGTGGCGGAGGCTGAGCCGTCCCGGGATTTATGAAGTGGGAGATGCACCGATGGCTTCATTGCGGCCTCCGCCATCCGCTTGGAGAGCGTGGCGTGTCTGCCCAGACTGGCCCCCTGGGGGGCGTGGAGCCCCTCTGGCGTCCGCCTTGAGCCCCCGGCGCCAGCGTCAAGAGCCCGCTGGTTGTCCCTGGAGCTCCGCAATTAACGGGCGACAGCGGAGGCGCCGCAAAGGCGCAAGGGGCTCGGTCAGGTTCCTGGCTTGTCCCGGGAGAAGGCCACGGTCACAGACGTCAGCTTTGTGCTGCACCTCGCACCGGGGGGCCCTGACTCCCCGGGGGGCTCCCAGAGGGACAGATTATCATAAGGGAACAATCAACTCAGCCAGTAGAGCAGCTCTCAACCGAGCGGTTTGGCCTCCGAGGCGAGCGGGCCAGAGCAGTGGGGGGGAGGCCTTTCCCTCTCTCTCGCCCCGCACACGGTCCTCTAGAAACCCTCGCCGACCCAGGCTCGTAGCCAGCCTGGGACTGGGGTGTCTGTTCCCCCCCCGTCCTCCGAGGAGCAGGAGGCGACTGAGGGGACTTGTCCTTGCAGAGGAGAATCGCGGCTTTCTTTCAGCCACAGCCCCGTTAGCGTGTCCCCGTGTCATGGAGAGGCCGAGTGGCGCGAGCCCGCGGCGCAGGGCAGCGGGAGCGGGAGGGAGGCACCTCTCCACTGTGGGGGAGCTCTGCCGCTGACTCCCCGGGCCAAGGAGTCACTCTCGGGGGGCTGCGGCTCCGGAATCACAAGGCTGCTCTTGCGGGGTGGTTACGGGGGGGCTCAGGCCAGATGAGGTGACTGCCCCGTACCACGCGTGCAGGGACTCAGCTGAAGCGGGAGAAGGGAACGTGGTGTTGGGGAAAGGGACGGCCCGGGGCCATCCTAGACCCTGGGTCCCTTCAGTCCCAGACACCAGCAGCTCCAGGCGAGAAGAGTCCCAGCACGGTGCTGCTGGGTCGGTTGGGGGCACGGGCATTGGCCACTGTTGGAGGATGGACCTTTGGTCTGCCCCTGGGTGGCCGTTGTGCTGTCTCCCGGCCTGGGGCAGAGTGTGGCGGTTTCACCCGCACATACCCCACCCAGGCGTGTGCTGCTACAGCCGCGTCTCTGCAAACGGCGGTGCTTCCTGCGGGCATCACAAAGCACCCTTGTGTGAGCATCCTTCAGTAGCATTCGCCGGACTCATTTCTGCCGCTTGCGAATACGCACCAGCTGAGAGGCAGGGCCCTCTTGGGCAGCAGCCCCCGGCCACGCCGCTCGCATCCTCGGCTGGGAGCATCTTGTCTTGAATTTCCACCGGTACGGTAACGAGCTCAACGTCTGATTGGACTCCCGACGGCAGGTTCCCGTCTGCCTCCAGGGCCGCACAAATTCCGCCAGCGCCCGGCCGTGCCGAGACAGCCGTCCCCGTGGGCAGCTTTTTAGTAGGCAAAAGTGGTGCCTGACTATTGGTTATGGTGGCTCATAACTCATATTTTATCAGGCCCTTCAGGGTTTTGATTATAATTACTCCACTCCGTCAATTTAGTGGCAGGCAAAAAACTTTCAAAGGCCTTTCCTTTTTGGGTAAATAAATATGCCTCAAATTATGCAGGGAGCATCATAAAATTGCCACTTTCCTTGCCATAAAGCCAGCTAATTGTGGTTTGGGTTTGTGACTTCATTGCCGGGAGCAGCATGTGCGATGTACGCAGGAGAGTGCGGAGGGAGACGCTTGAGCTGTGCGTTTAACTCGAGAAGCTGCGGCGTCAGGTGGTCTGGACCCAATGAAAACCATCCTGGTGGCTTTCTCTCCGAGGGTGACAGCAGCATCACTCAGAAACACGTGGCGCTACCAGAGTGCCACAAACATGCCAATGCAGAGAACAAGAGCGCCACGGTTTTTTAAATCTCTCGCTTTTTTTTTAAGCCAATCTCGTGACTTTTTGAGGCCTGACTCACAATTTTTGAGCTCCTGGAGTTGGCAACGGAAGATCAGGGCCTAGCGTCCCTTCTTCACTGTCCGAATGTCTTTTTTCTGTTAGGCCGATACTGTTATTAGCAATATCAATCATGCTTATCGCATTAGTGCCTAGGGGCTAGCCAAGAAAGGGCCAGAGAGAGACAGGATCTGGAGAGACACAGAGCAGCACCGTGTCTGTGCCCAGACGAGTCTACAATCTGAACAGATCAGAGAGCCCCAGGGTAGGGGAAAGTAGCAAACACACACAGTGGGAGTGAATAATACCGTAATCGTTTCCTTTTGCGTATCTGTTTGTCTCGTTAGCTGGCCGTGCTGTCGTTTGTATTTCTTCATGCAGTTTGCTTTCTGATTTTTATCCTCTTACCCTTGTTCTGTTTTTGCATTTTTAGTTTTTCCCTATGAAAGCGTCCAAGAAACGCTGGGGTCCCTGCCCCCTTCGAACCTTTTCCCTCCAGACGTTCATTTTCCACCTGGCTTTTTTTCTTCTTTTCCTATTCTATTCCACCATCACGCTCAGTGGGATATCACAGCTACCGGGGGTGACCTCGGCTGCGGCTGCCCCTCCAAACGGGGTCCGATTGATCCATCTTGATCTCAACCTGCAGTTCTTTGTTGGCTCTGCGGCTCATGCGTTTGGTAGGACTTCAGTAAATAACGGCCATGCTCCAGATGGACTGGCCTCAGCCTGTCAGTTTAGAAGTAGCCTGTTCCATGTACCGGGGAGGAGCAAAAGGGAAGAGGAAAGAGAAGAGAGAGCAGTGAGCTTGGGGAGAATGGAAGAGGGAGGGGAGTAGAAGAGCTAAGAGGAATCGCACTGTAGCTGGTGTGCACAGAAGCGAGCGGGTATCAGAGGGTATCTCTACACTACCCTCCTAATTCGAACTAGGAGGGTAATGTAGGCATACCGCACTTGCAAATGAAGCCCGGGATTTGAATTTCCTGGGCTTCATTTGCATAAGCCGGGCGCCGCCATTTTTAAATCCCGGCTAGTTCGAACCCCGTGCTGCGCGGCTACACGCGGCACGGAGTAGCTAGTTCGGATTAGGCTTCTAATCCGAACTAGCTGTACTCCTTGTGGAATGAGCAGTACAGCTAGTTCGGATTAGAAGCCTAATCTGAACTAGCTACTCCGTG